TCTCTGTTGTTCAGATTGGGTATTTTCTATGGATCTGTCTCTGAGTTCACTGACTGTTTTTTTTTTTTTTTTTATCATCTCCATTCTGCTACTGAGCTGATCTGTGAAGTTTTGTTATTTTAATGTTCTTTTCTTCAGAGCTTTAATTTTCATTTTCTAAATTTTTAATGATTTCCAATATGTTTGTGATTGCTCATTGGGAATATTCAATAATAACTAGTTTAGTGTGTGTGTGTGTGTGTGTGTGTGCTACTTGCTCAGTAATGTCTGACTCTTTGCAACCCCATGGACTATAGCCTGCCAGGTTCCTCTGTCCATGGAATTCCCCAGGCAAGAATACTGAAGTGGGTAGCCATTCCCTTCTCCAGGAGATCTTTCTGACTCAGGAATCAAACCTGGGTCTCTTGCATTGCAGGCAGATTTTTTACTATCTGAGCCATCGTGGAAGCCCAGTTTAACATATACACATTTTGGTTAAAAGACTAACAGAGTTTTGCCAAGAGAATGCAATGGTCATAGCAAACACCCGCTTTCAACAACACAAGAGAAGACTCTACACATGGGCATCACCAGACGGTCAATACCAAAATCAGGATGATTATATTCTTTGCAGCCAAGATGGAAAAGCTCTATACTGTCAGCAAAAACAAGACCAGGAACTGACTGTGACTCAGATCATGAACTCCTTATTGCCAAATTCATACTTAAACTGAAGAAAGTAGGGATAACCATTAGACCATTCAGGTATGACCTAAATCAAATCCCTAAAGATTATACAGTGGAAGTGACAAATAGATTCAAGGGATTAGATCTGATAGACAGAGTGCCTGAAGAACTATGGACAGAGGTTCATAACATTGTACAGGAGACAGTTATCAAGACCATCCCCAAGAAAAAGAAATGCAAAAAGGCAAAATGGTTGTCTGAAAAGGCCTTACAAATAGCTAAGAAAAGAAGAGAAACTAAAGGCAAAGGACAAAAGGAAAGATATACCCATTTGAATGCAGAGTTCCAAAGAATAGCAAGGAGAGATAAGCAAGCCTTCCTCAGTGATCAATGCAAAGAAATAGAGGAAAACATTAGAATGGGAAAAACTAGAGATCTCTTCAAGAAAATTAGAGATACCAAGGGACTATCTCATGCAAAGATGAGCACAATAAAGGACAGAAATGGTGTGGACCTAACAGAAGCAGAAGATATTGAGAAGAGGTGGCAAGAATACACAGAAGAACTATACAAAAAGATCTTCATGACCCAGATAATCACCATGGTGTGATCACTCACCTAGAGCCAGACATCCTGAAATGCAAAGTCAAGTGGGTCTTAGGAAGCGTCACTACTAACAAAGCTAGTGGGGCTGATGGAATTCCAGCTGCGCTATTTCAAATACTCAAAGATGATGCTGTGAAAGTGCTGCACTCCATATGCCAGCAAATTTGGAAAACTCAGCAGTGACCACAGGACTGGAAAAGATCAGTTTTCATTCCAATCCCAAAGAAAGGGAATGCCAAAGAATGCTCAAACTACTGCACAATTGCACTCATCTCACACACTGGCAAAGTAATGCTCAAAATTCTCCAAGCCAGGCTTCAGCAATACATGAACTGTGAACTTCCAGATGTTCAAACTGGATTTAAAAAAGGTAGAGGAACCAGAGATCAAATTGTCAACATCCACTGGATCATCAAAAAAGCAAGAGAGTTCCAAAAAAAATATCTACTTTTGCTTTATTGACTACGTCAAAGTCTTTGACTGTGTGGATCACAACAAACTGTGGAAAATTCTTCATGAGATAAGAATACCAGACCACTTGACCTGCCTCCTAAGAAATCTGCACGTAGGTCAGGAAACAACAGTTAGAACTGGACATGGAACAACAGACTGGTTCCAAATTGGGAAAGGAGTACATCAAGGCTGTATATCGTCACCGTGCTTATTTAACTTATATGCAGAGTACATCATGTGAAATGCTGGGCTGGATGAAGCACAAGCTGGAATCAAGATTGCCGGGAGAAATATCAATAACCTCAGATATGCAGATGACACCACCCTTATGGCAGAAAGTGAAGAAGAACTAAAGAACCTCTTGATGAAAGTAAAAGACGAGAGTGAAAAAGTTGGCTTAAAACTCAACATTCAGAAAACTGAGGTAATGGCATCTGGCCCCATCACTTCATGGCAAATAGATGGGGAAACAATGGAAACAGTGACAGACTTTATTTTGGGGGGCTCCAAAATCACTGCAGATGGTGACTGCAGCCATGAAATTAAAAGATGTTTGCTCTTTGGAAGAAAAACTATGACCAACCTAGACTGCATATTAAAAAGCAGAGACGTTACTTTGCCAACAAATGTCCATATCATCAAAGCTATTGTTTTTCCAGTAGTCATGTATGGATGTGAGAGTTGGACTATAAAGCTGAGCACTGAAGAATTGATGCTTTTGAAGTATGATGTTGGAGAAGACTCTTGAGAGTCTTTTGAACTGCAAAGAGATCCAACCAGTCAATCCTAAAAGAAATCAGTCCTGAATATTCATCGGAAGGATCGATGCTGTAGCTGAAACTCCAATGCTCTGGCCACCTGATGCAAAGAACCGACTCATTGGAAAAGATCCTGATGCTGGGAAAGATTGAAGGCAGGAGGAGAAGGGGACAACAGAGGATGAGATGGTTGGATGGCATTACTGATGCAATGGACATGAGTTTGAGTAGGCTCTGGGAGTTGGTGATGGATAGGGAAGCCTGGCGTGCTGCAGTCCATGGGGTCGCAAAGAGTTGGACACAACTGAGTGACTGAACTGAACACATAAAATAGATCACTAATAAGGACATACTTATTAGTATGTACAGCACAGGGAACTCTATTCAATACTCTGTAATAACCTATGTGGGAAAAGAAGCTAAAAGACAGTGAGTATACGTGTATGTGCAACCGAATCACTTTGCCGTATACCTGAAACTAACACAACATTGTAAATCAACTGCTGTTGTTGTTCAGTCACCAGGTTGTGTCCGACTCTTTGCGACCCCGTGGACTGCAGCACACTAGCTTCCCTTCCCTCTGCTATCTCCCAGAGATTGCTCAAATTCACGACCACTAAGTTGATGACGCTATCTAACCATCCCATCCTCTGCGGCCCACTTCTCTGTTTTGTTCACCATATGCCAAGTCTTCCTGGTTGTATCTTGGATATGTGTAACGTTATGTTCTGAGTCTCTGGGTCATTCTCTAATGGAGAATGTTGTGTCTTTGTTGATGCAGGCAGTTGGCCTGTTTACATCTGACCGACAAGTTCCGGCTTGCCTGCTCTCGACCCTCTGCAGTATTTACATGGGCAGTTCAGGTTTCTATGCCTTTGCAATTCTAGTATATTCTTTCTGCACACGTGCCCCTCAGCAGCCAGTCTAGGACCTGATCCGTGGTCTCTCTGTTAGCGGGGTTCCCAAAATGTTTGCACAGCTTGTTGGTAGAGGGAGGTACTAGCCCTGGGAATTAAGAAATTGTCCTGAAGAATCACTTTCCCAGGTTCTTCAGGCTACAAAACTGGGATCCTGCTCTCAGAGCGTCCGCTCTGCCGTCCACTCCTTGGGCCAATCCCATCTGTGGTCGAGCAGCCCAGAAGAGGGGAGAGGAGGCAGCGTTTGGTGTGGCCTCCGCCTCGGGGAGCTCCTGACCCACCGTGTGCAGAGGACAGTTGCTTGCCTCCAGCGAGGGTTCCTGCAGACTCTCCTTCCCGGCTGCTGCCGCCGCCTCTGAGCCCCTGCTTGAGGAACTGGAGCACGCAGAAGCAAAAATAGGGAAGGAAACAGCACTAGGGAATTGCCTCTGTGTTAGGGGGCCCCTTTCCTGCTCCTTGAGCCGTAGCTGGAATGTCTCCTGGAGCTTCGTCTACCTGCCCATTTCTGACTTTACAGTGCAGTGAATTCAGGCTGGAGTAGACTGGGGGGAGCAGGGAACAGTAAACTCTTTTCATCTGGTGGCATTAAATTCTGGAGATCTTTCCCAAGTTACCTGCTGCTACCCACTTTCCCAGGTCTTTAAATAGTTGTCTCACGTATTCCAGCCAGCTTTTATGGGGACAGTCAGTGGGAGAGTCAAGGGGGAATGTGCTTAGTCCAACTCACCCAGATTCAGAGGCAAGCATGCCTGACGCTGCATCAGAGAGGATCACACGTGTGCCTCTTGAGCTCCTTCTGTTCAGCCCTCGTGCTTTCTGTCTGCTCAAACCGGAGCCGTGAAGCTCTACCTGGTGGTATCAAGGAGCACGTTTTGATGAAATTTTCTACATGTGCTCTTTGTAAGATTAAAAAATATATATATTCATGTAGCCTTATCGATTTTGATTTGGAAACATTTTTGAACACTTTTAACAGAATTCTTGTTCAATGTGTCCCAGACCCAAGTGTCTGGTAATAAGCTGAGAAAAATAAAAAATGGATTTGCTTTCCTTTTAAGAAAATCAATAAATCACAAGAGATGAATTTAATAAAAAAAGAAAAAACAGAGAAATGAAAGTTTCTGCCTGATTATAGCATGCATGTTGGAACACGAGATGGGACCTGAGAGTCAGTCATGTGGGGACAGGGAGGTGGCCCTCCAAGAAGAGAAGGCGCAGGCGGGAAGACCGATGCTGGGTGGCCTGGGGTCTTGTTAGTGAGACCTCAGCTCAAGTGAGAAGAGCTAGGATGCAGGGGGCTGGCTGACCCTGAACACTGGCTCCAGAGAGCAGGAGGAAGGGGGTCAGGGGACAGCTGACCACAGGGCCTCCCAGGCTGCTGGGCTGAGAGCCACACAGTGACGAAGGGCCGTGCTGTCCACCCCGGGGTCCCAGGGCGGGAGGGCCAGAGGGCATAGGGCCTGGGGAGAGGCAGGGGTGGGGACTCCCTGGGGGTGCTCTCGACTGCGTGCTCTCACTGTATCCCCAGACGGAGATGTGGATGCCAGAAAAGGTGCGTCTTAACCAGCCCCCACTGGGGCTTCCTCCTGCGTCTGGTTAGAAGACCGTCAGGTCTCTTCTCGTGGTCAGCGAGGAGCGTGGGACTCACCGCCACCCTGATGCGGCCAGTGGTCACTCCACAGGCCTGGCACTGCCCTGCACTGGGTGTGGCGGAGAGCCCTATGCTGCGGTCCACGGGCCCCCCCGAGGTGGACTCAGAGGGATCTGCCCTCTCTGTGGTCCTCACTGCGGATCAGTCATGAGACATTTGACAGCTATGAGCAGCCTAGAGCTGGCCGTGTGCTCAGGAGGGCCTGAGTGAGACCTGTAGGAGGCTGGGCATCCACTCCCCGCCCCGCCCCGCCCCAGCAGGCAGGGCCTCACCCCTCCTCCTCCCAGCAGGCAGGAAGCCCCCCACCCTGCCCTGGGTAGGGCCTCACCCTCCTTCCCGCCCCAGGCAGGGCCCTCGGCACCCAGAGCATCAGCTCTCATCTGGCTGGAAATCCATCACCAGGAGCTGCTCCAGCGCAGCCTGTCACACCGCATCCCTGACGGGCACAGGCCGAGGACTCCACGGAGTCTTACATAAGCAGCCTGACTGGTCAGCACAGGCCTGTTTTAGGAGCGTCTGATGGGAACCGACTTCGGGTGCAGAAGCGTGCGGGCAGCAGGTGACTGAAGACGGGGATTTAAAGACACGCGTCTCCTCAGACTGAAGTGCACGCAGAGCACTCGGGGAGAGGAGGCCCTCTTCCCTGCCTCTGTGGTCTAGCACGGTCCACGGTCTACGAGGTCATCCAAGCAGCACAGAAGTGGCTTTGGGACTCAGAGCTACACTTGCTCTTCCGTTAACCTCACCCTGCCTTTAAATATGCCCTCTGCAGACCCAGCCTCCTCCCTGACCCCGTGACACTCGTGTGACAGAGTGTCTGCTGGCTGTCATCGCCACTGGGGTGACCCATGGTCAGCTCAGACTCACCATGACCAACACAGGGCTCTTGACCCTGGTCCACCCAATCACTGCACCACCGAAGCAAAGGCCAGCCCATCACATCCACCCAGCAGCTGGAAGCCCTGCAGTCATCCATAACTTTCCTTTCCTTCTTTTCTTTCCATAACCCGAGACCAAGTCATTGGCAAACACTGCCCGACCTCATCCATGACAGACCCAGAACCCCAGCATCTGCCCAACAGTAATTTAGACTCTACTGCCTCGATCAGGCCACTACACTCTCACCTGGACCATTGGGGATGTTCTGACCAGTTTCCTGTAGTCCTTTCTGAACGAGCAGAAATCAGATCTTGTCATTCCTCTGCACAAAGTCCTCCCTCAGCTCCAATGAGAGGTAGATTCTTCAGGACACACATAGAGGCTTCCACGTGATTTATGCTGAGTTCAAGCTGGGAAATCCATTCCTGAGCTCATCCTTTTCTTCTTTACTTTGTCCAGGGTCATCAGTTCAGTTTAATTCTATCACTCAACCATGTCTGATGCTTTGCGACCCCATGGACTGCAGCACACCAGTCTTCCTTGTCCATCACCAATGCCCGGAGCCTGCTCAAACTCATGTCTATCTAGTCTGTGATGCCATCCAGCCATCTCATCCTCTGTCATCCCCTTCGCCTCCCACCTTCAACCTTTCCCAGCATCAGGGTCTTTTCAGATGAATCATTTCTTCACATCAAGTGGCCAAAGTATTGGAGCTTTAGCATCAGTCCTTCCAGTGAACACTCAGGACTGATCTCCTTTAGGACGGACTGGTTGGATTTCCTTGCAGTCCAAGGGACTCTCAAGAGTCTTCTCCAGCACCACAGTTCAAAAGCATCAATTCTTCAGTGCTCAGCTTTCTTTATAGTCCAACTCTCACATCCATACATGACACTGGAAAAACCATAGCCTTGACTAGACGGACATTTGTCGGTAAAGTAATGTCTCTGCTTTTTAATATTCTGTCTAGGTTGGTAACTTTTCTTTCAAGGAGCAAACATCTTTTAATTTCATGGCTGCAGTCACCATCTGCAGTGATTTTGGAGCCCCAAAATAAAGTCTGTCACTGTTTCCATTGTTTCCCCGTCTATTTGCCATGAAGTGATGAGACTGGATGCTATGATCTTAATTTTTTGAATGTTGAGTTTTAAACCAGCTTTTTCCACCTCCTCTTTCACTTTAATCAAGAAGCTCTTCAGTTCCTCTTCACCTTCTGCCATAAGGGTGGTGTCATCTGCATATCTGAGGTTATTGATATTTCTTCCGGCAATCTTGATTCCAGCTTGTGCTTCATCCAGTCTGACATGTGTCATGATGTACTCTGCATATAAGTTAAATAAGCAAGGTGACACTCTCAGGAGTTTCCAAAAATAATTGAAAGTATCATTTACAGAACCACCAGCTCCTTGCTTTTTATAAGCAGTTGACCAAGAGAATCCAGTGTGTGTATTTACTGCTAGTTTACACCCACAGGCTACCTGTGTCCCATTTACCACCAGAAATAGAGTCACCAGAGGGACATCTCTAAGTCTAATTGGATTAGAGAGCAGATTCCAGGAACCCCAGAACCAGTTCAATAAAACTTATCTTTACACACTGCTATATTTAAATGGATAACCAACAAGGACCCACTGTATAGAACAGGGAACTCTGCTCAATGTTATGTGGCTGACTGGATGGGAGTGGAGGTTGGGGGAGGATGGATACATGTATATGTATGGCTGAGTCCCTTCACGGAAACTATTAGAGCATTGTTAATCAGCTATACCCCAATACGGGCTTCACAGGTGGCGCTAGTGGTAAAGAATCCACCTGCCAATGCAGGAGATACAAGAGACTCAGGTTTGATCCCTGGGTCAGAAAGATCCCCTGGAGAAGGGCATGGCAACCCACTCCAGTATTCTTGCCTGGAGAGTCCCATGGACAGAGGAGTCGCAAAGAGTGGGACACAACTGAAGCAACTTAACACGCACACACGCATACCCCAAACAAAATAAAAAGTTCAAAAGAAAAAAAAGCCATCTTTAAAATTTTGTCCTCTAGAAGGATTCTCAGAACCAAAACTTGTGTCTGTCAGGGTTCCCCAGAGAAGAAGAACCAGCAGTATATATAGATACCCAGAAAGAGATTTGTTATGAGGAATTGACTCACACGGATGGTGGAGGCTGAGAAGTCCACAGTCTGCCGTCTACATGGTGAGGCCCAGGGAGACCAGTGCTGCAGCCGGAAGACCACGGAGCAGAGAGCTGAAATGTGGATTCCAGTCCAGGTCTGAAGGCCTGAGACCAGGAGACAAACGTCTCGGCTCAAGCTGTCAGGAGGAGGCAGCAAATCCGTCCTTCTTTCACGTGTTTGTCCTATTCAGCCCTTGGTGGGTTGGATAAGACTCCGCCGTCTTCCGGAGGACAGTCTGATCTACTTGGCTCACCAGTTCAAAGGCTAACCTCTTCTGGAAACACCCTTGTAGGTACATTCAGAACAGATGCTGGAGCAGGTACTGGGCAGCCCAGACCCAGTCAAGTGGACACAAACAACTAACCACTGCACCATCCCACTCCAAGCAAAACCCGAGGTAGTGAGCACAGCCCAGCCGGGAAGCCCCTTGAGCTCGAGCTCGCCTGGATCCCCCTCGCCTCAGCCCCTCCCTACGTGACTGCATCGCTCTTCCTCTTTATGTTCTTCATCGCATATCATCAACAACCACAAGCTTAATGGCTTAAAACAGCACACGTTTGTTATCTCAGCATTCCCAAGGATCGGGGGTCCAGCAGAACTTAGCTAGGTGCTCTGCTCAGAGTCTCAAGAGGATGCTCCATGCATTAGCCAAGTCTGGGGGCTTCCCTGGACCTGATCCCTGCTTGCAAGCTCCCTGGGGCCATCAGAGGAATCCATTTTCTTATTTGTGCAGGACTGAAGGTGCTGGCTTCTCCACGACCCCCAGAGAGTACCCTCAGTCCCTAGAGGCCACACACTGGGCCTTGCCACAGAGATTCCCCCAGCCTAGTCACTGAGATCTCCAGCCAGCAAGAATGTGCCAGCAAAATGGGTCTCACCTATCATAGGAGTGGGAGGGACGTGCCACGTCCCATTGCTAGCCTCAATTCAAGCCCCCTGACCCATATTCCAGGGTAGGGGTTGACACACCAGGAGATGGGGTCAAAGAGCCACCCTAGGGTCTCTCTGCCCTAACTTCTCACTTCCCTCCATCTCGTGGAATCCTACAAGCCTAGGTGCATATGTTGTCTGCCACAGACAGAGATGAAAATAGCCAGGATCCTGGTCAGACTGTGGAGGACCTGGGCCACACGCTTGAACCCCATGGGAGAAAATTTCTGACTTAATCCAAACAAAATAAAGAAACACTATTTTATCTGTTTTCCAAAGTTGCCCAACACAATATGAAAGGTTCTCGAATATTCCACAGCTCTCTCCCATGCGTTCATTGTCTGGGATATTCTATTCGGCTCCAATCAGAGGAAACTTGAGTTTTACTTGCTATCAGCTCTCATCTAGGCTCTGTTGAAGATGGAATTTGGGGTGATGGTGAATGAGATTTCCAGTGTGGTCCCAGCCAGGCTTAAACAACGTCAAACTTGAGCCTCATTGCACCAGACTTTGTTTTCCAGTCTCTTTGTCTGTAATAAGAAATCTGCGTATTTCCCACTCTGGGAATGGCATTTACACTGTTTGGCTGAGGGACACGTCTGAAGGGTGTAATTCATGCTGGGCAGTCAATCGCATATGTGGAATTTAATACACAATAACTCAGACTCCTTCACAAAAAAAGGAAAGTGCCCAGTCCATTAGTAACTTCTAGAAACCTGGACTGGATCCAAGAGGACGCAGGGATGAGGCCAGCCTCCAGGTGTTAGCTGTCTTGTTACTTAATTGTCATCTCAGTGTCTGATGTCATCACAGGGACTCCAGGCTTACGTCAATCTAAAATGCAAGTCCTGTGACCACCCCAAGCCTCACTTCCCCATGTGTCAAGGAATGACACTCACCTCATAGACGTTTTCCCACATATTTTGTGACTTTTCATTTGATGAGTTTTTATGATCTACAGAAGTTTAAGCATTTTTTTAATTTAGCAATTGTGTTTTATTATCTTCCACAATCAAGTCAAAATAAAATATCACTAATTTCATGTGCAGATTATTACTACCTTATTACATGCTGTCGTTTATCCCTCAGGGCAAAAGCTTTAGGATCAGACATAATGTTTACTTGGCTTGGGGCAGCACTGGTTCCTTCTTTTCTTCTTTTCCCTTTCTC